CGTTTGAAAGAAAAGTAACCAGCATAGGAGAGTGATCAGAAAGCATACGACTCGAGGGAGGGTTGGCTAATCAAATTAGAATGAAGATTCCGCTCTATATGATAAACGTTTGGTTGACTTTGATATGAAGTGTTGATTGTGTTTTCTATTCGTTTAGACCCCGATAGTGCTTCTCGTTGTGACTGAAGGAAGGTTCATTCTATGCAAGATATATGCTAGTTTACAAGCATGAGACCCTCCTTTCGGGCCGGTAGACAGAGGCCTCAGTTCCAACGAAATGGGGAGCAAAAAGAGGTCGTGTCATACCATACAAATGAAATGAATGAAATATATTCCTGTTGTTTCTGTGCCTATTAGTACTTCGCTCTGACCACATCAAGAGGAGTAGTTTGTTTTTCTTTTGTAAAGTGGGCCCAAGGAAATATATAGGAGAACATAGCTTGTTTTGTAGTAAGTAAATTCAAAGGCTCAAATCGTCTATATCAATGCAAGTCTAGCTGGATGGAGTGACTCATGCTTTCGAACCATAAACTAATGCCGCCTCTCGGGAGCGCATGTTACTATTTCATTCTCTGGAGCACAATCCAACGGAAAAAAGTATGTTTCCAACCTACACCTTTAGTTGTTCCAGCTCGTGAGGAAGACGACTATGGAATTCAGATTTCCTTTCTCTCGAAGCAAGCCAGTCCTTAATTAATGATAAGGAAGGAAGGAATTGCTCTTAGGCTTGTGAGTATTTTATCATATGGATGGGTTGTACAACCCTTACATGGTCTCTTGGCATGAAATTGGGTACTTTTCGTCTATGCCGAGACGGAAGTTATCTGCAAAGAATGCCAACTTACGACCGTCAAAGTGGAAATCGTATCAACCCACTGAAACCGCTCTTTGGAATGGAATGCATAGTATTGTGCATTGGAATGGAAAAGTCGAATAATCAAGACATGGATCTAGTATCAACATGACCCAACTTCCATTCTCATGACCCAACTTATTCAATCACTTCCATTATCTTTCTATTGCTACAAATCGACAATAAGAAACATCCCTCGGAATTCCTGTTCGATAGGAAAAAATAGCTCTTCAACCAGAAATAGCAAGCAACATGTTTTTCTTCTCTCTTCCGAGCACACACCCTATCGGGTGATGCCACTGACAAACACCCTAAAGGGGAATGCAACACTTCCTATAACAGAAAAACAATATCTGAAATCTTTAAGCAACTAAAAAGACGTATACTAAAAGATATGTGTTGAAAAGGGATGGTCAATAACAAGATGAACCCAATGCCCAATCTTCCCAATAGTATTCCTTAACTCTTGAATTGATACACTTGTTCATGGCATCTATTCTCTATCTTCACTTTTCACCTTCTCATCCTTAACCTCAGTGATCTGTTACTCCTAGACATCCTTCTGCATACAAAAACAGAAGATGAAGCACGGGCATAAATTAATAGAATAGTTTAGTTTTAGAAGTCTTTTTTGATTGGTATATCAATCATGGTTTATAGGGAAATAGTTAGAATAGGAAAGCTCTGTTAGTTACTAATGTTTGGGTTTTTGTTTACGGCAATAGTAGGTTTCTTGCTTGTCATATTTAGAATATAAGCATCAGTTACATTTGACGTCCAGCCTTTTTATAGAAGAGAAAGGAAGGTTAAGGGAAAGGGCGTAGCATAATATATAAGAAAAACTTGATCTTTGAGGGGAAATTTTTCCAACTAGACCGATAAATGAGAAAAAGTACCAGTCGTACCAAGAACCAAAGGCGCCAGCTTTCATTGATATATATACCGTATCTTTTAGCTGAAAAATCTATGGATAAGAAACGGCTCTGGGAGGAGGGGTGGCACGACAGAGCAATGAAAATATGGGATCTTTCCTTATCTTCGGTCATGACGCGTTTTCCTTTTGCATGAGAAAGCGCTACAAAACATCCTTCTCGTGGGTTATCTTCTACTCAAGCAAGCTCTCTCCTATTCTTCATCCACCAACTAGCAGGAATGTAGGAGCATAAGAGGGTCATCATCTTCTGAAACGATTGTCTTTCGATCTGCTTTCCAAGAGGTGGTTTCTGACATGACCAGAAAGAGTGGAATTCTAGTTAGGATTGGCATGTCAAGTTGCTTTCTCGGACCCTAACATAAACCACCTTATACTCACTCAGATTGTTCTTTTGGACTGAGCAGAAGCACGACCTCTATCTGACATTTTCTCTATCCCTTCTAATCTCTCAATGGCATTTCCATCTCTCGATTCAATCAATCAAGTAAGTCCGGATGACACTTGTCTTTATTAGTGTTTCCCCGGCTATTCAGCCATTACTTGCATCTCAGGTTCTTTGTAACCTTTTTTAGTGCCATGCACACTGAGGTTTCTGGCATGACCGAATCTTTTGAGAATATCGCTTATTACGTTAATTTCTTCATCTTGATGTACTCAATCCATTCAAATTCCATAATTCCAATGCTATAATCCCTATATTAAGATGAAGTAAGAAAGCATGAGTCCTCTTATTTTTTGTCTTCTATGAAAGAATGTAGCTCACTCTTTCAACCCGGGGCCCCCTCTAGGGAACTGTTTGAGTTTTAGCATCGACCCCATTTCCTTTTGATCGTATTACGCTTGACTCGCTGCAAAACATTTCGCTTTCCGCGCCACGCTCGTACGTGGTTTACACTCCTAGCCTTTCATCTGACTTTGCCATCGGGCAATTGTTTGTTTTCAACTGGATTGGATTCTGAACCAAGAAAGATAGGCAACTTTCACTTGAAAGAAAGGAGCTTCAGAGCTCTTGTATTCCACCGAATAAGAATAAGAATAAGAGCAAGAAGGGGCTATCTTTGTGAAGGGACCGGCACCAGAAAGTAGATCATATGGCCTTTCTTTCGCCAAAATCAAGTAAAGCCCCGGCCCAAGAAATGCAGCAAAGCAAGTCATCTTTGGTTTGGAGCTAAATTCCCGGATGTATAGGCTTGATCGAGTGCCTTACCTGAAATCGACGATATAAAGTGGGCTCTTTAGCTTGCTCCGACAAAGGTCTCCTTCTCCCTTAGCAGTGAGACCAGTCCCTACCTCTTTTCAATCAATCTTTCATACCGTATGCCTTTTCTACGCCTAAAACAAGTTCATGTCTCTCCTCTCTGAAGTCGGACCTTATTGAAAAGTAGTACGCTTTCTTTCGTGGTGTTCAGGATCCCATGCTTTGTAGTTCACGCATGGCTTTCTCTAACGAAGCTAATGCCGAAAATTAAAGACCTTAAACGGAAAGACGCGGGAGGTGGCGAAAAACGAAAAAAGAGAAAGAGCTTACAAACTTCTCTGAACCCGGTAGCCAGCAGAGCCCTTATTCATGGGTTAGGAACTAGCATTGAACAAAGTTGGTGACAGCCGAAGAAAAAGTGAAAGGGCAAGTAAATAATCTAAACATGCGGGTAAGAAGCAAAAAAAGAATAAAAGTAACGCGCCCTACCTGTTAGTAAAGTAAGGCCTTCGAGAGCCTATCTAACACAGACATACACGCGGATGAGGACACAGAAATAAATGGACGTCAATCCGGTACTGAAATTGCATAGTAAAAAATGCAATATGTTCATACTTAATGAAACGCACATCATCCAATTCATGATTTAAGAACAAGAGAACGAGATATTGACTTTTTTTACATCTGTAACTACATTCTCACATTTCTTTTTTGATCTCATGACTTTTTATGCGATCGGAAAACGAATGAGATCAGAAAGATAGGCGGACGACTTGACCATAAGGTCGGATGTTTTCGTGAGTAGTAAGCAGCGGATCTCCCCTTTTTGGGGGAAAGCTGGTTAAACAAAACTAGGGATAGCTAGCAGGTATTTTCTAAAGGTTCAAAAAGAAGGTATTTCAAAAGGGCTTTGGCAAAGGAGGTTCACCTTGCCTGCTTTCCTTGTCCTCCATTCATCGATATCCTATACTGGATACCTTTGCCTTTTCCGAGTGGAGGCAGTGGGCTATTCTCGTTCTTAGCTTTATAAACCGAAACATGCCATTGCGTAGGCTCGTAGGCATAATTCATATTCGTATTTGTTATTGGCGTACGTAATTTCCTTACTACGTCTATCGCTCGTAGGAATATCTCTAAATAGGAATCGTAGTCCTCGTATGTACATCTTTCGTATTGTGATAAAGCACCTATGCCGCTAGAAATAGTAGTGCCTTAAATAAGGCGTTCCAGGTTCTTTTTCCCCTGGTTTGTATCAGAGCTGGCCACTGATAATAGGAAAAAATGAAACATTTGGTGTGTTTTAGTTCATTCTCAATCTTGTTTCCCCTTGTGCTCCGAGGGAAATAAAGGGGAAATCACTGATTCATTTGGAGCTATTTTCTAACTGACTCATTGACATGAGAGATTGGATGCGATGCGCCAGTCACTCGTACTACAGCGGACAAAGGTCACCGGCAAACGACCGTTGCACAATGGAACCTGGTACTACTGTTTGCCCTAAGGGCCGACCCACCTTTTCAGAGAAACAGACACATGACATCACTATATTACGCATTTTCAAGATAAGAAAGTGGAGAATGCACTCTTCCCTTTTTTACATTTTAAACTCATGTTCATGGTCTGTTTTATTCCCAATTGTTGCCCGTGTGAAAAGAAAGAAGAGAAGTTGGGCCATGTTTCCCGAGAGAGACTACCTTCTCTCAGGCCAGCAGTCTTATACTTATAGTCAACTGCTCTATGATGATCTGACCTCTTTCCTGGGCTCTGCTTGCTCGTCTACGCTCCGACCAATTCAGTCAAAATCGAAAAAACAATGTTTCCTTGAAAAAGTCTAAGAAGTAGTAGTAGTAGTCAAAAGGTGCACTTTTGCATATATTTCGATTTATAAGGCCCCCTATCTTTGTCTCTATCCACAGAGATACCTATCTATATAGCGAGAGATTTTTCTCAAAATTGATCTAGACTATCCTCTATCCGGATAGATATGTCCCTATGAGCGACTAGGCCGATCTTTTTTATATGTTTTGGCCACGTCCGTTTCCGCTCCGAAGAGGAAGGTTTGGATCTTTCAATCTTATGTCGTGAGGGATGTGACCTATGTTAGGTCCATAAGATACCACAGCTTTTAGTGTTCTATGATTCACCTCCGAATAATGAGTAGGTAGTTCGATCCTTTTGATTCTTATCTTCCTAGTAAACGGGGATCCGGAGCAATAGGTCGAATTACTATATAAAGAAGACTTTTCTACAAAAGGACTTATTGTTTGAGTAGGAAGATTTCGGTTTTTCTCCTTCCCTCTTTTCAATAAGAAGAAGTATTTGAAATGAAACAAATTCCTCTTCATTCTGTTGTGCTCAGCGAAGGAACTGCCTAAGCATACTTTTGCGGATCCAAACTTCTTTGTTCTTTCAAAGTCTTCTTCTTGCATATACGAACGCAACTTTTGCAATTCCTTGGATTTGAGTAGTAAGTGGCATCCCCTCTGAGTTGTGAGTAAGCGGAACCATTCTTTTTTTGTTCTTCTCTAGATTCTGGCCGGTAGGAATTTGCCTCTTCTTTTTCCAACTGATATGGACGATAGGAATTTGCCTATGATTTTTCCAACTGATATGTCGATATAGAAAGATCTTCTTATTTCAAAACCGCGGGTTCTCGCGTCATTTTCTTTAAAAGATATTAGATCACCGTGGGAAACTTTCAAATGAGTAATGGTTACCAGTCCATTATTCAAACAAATCCTTCGATGACTTATCGGCTGCCTTGCTTGAGGAAGAGTGTCACTAAAATGGAGACGAACCGGAATCACGTCCGATCTTGTTCCTTGATTGAGTAAAAAAGGGATATATGAAGTTCGTTCTCTTCCTCTGTGCATCTCCCTTATGGGTAAATCCCCATAATAAAGAGACAACTTTCATGTAGTTTGTGATTTGATGTTACTGTTTAGATTTTCTCTCCGAGAAAGATTTCTTTTAATGGATCTCCTCTTGTTCCTCAATCTTCGGAGAATACGGCGTTGGATTAGAGAAAGTTATATGTTCCAAACATTTCCTGGAAGTAGACGACACGTTTTAAATCTTAATGCTGGCATGGCATATTTTGTTGAATCGGTTTTTTTCGCCACATCGCGTATAAAGGGAATCGAACCTAACTCTTCCACGAACCCCCCACGAATGGCCCTCCCTTGATTCAATGAACTATGAGAATTCCTTTTTTCATTTTTTTTCTTTTCAGTTCTCATAAGTCCTTGATATACTAGCAGAAACTCAATACTTGACCGATTGCGTCACAGTGCTTAGGTAAAGTGGCAGTGGTTGAAAGCGAGCAGAAACGTCAGTGTTTTCTGTGCGTTACGATAGTAGTGGTGAAATAAAATCCAATTCAAATATCTCAACATAAAAAGAAAATCGTTTCACTTTGAAAGGAAAGCTAGCTATATGAGATCGAACTTCTTCCATCACTCTATCTACGATATTCATTGCACAGGCCTACGCATCTTATTTCAGGTATTTTTTCTTGGTTGAAGGCTCGCCATCACTGAACATACGAACAATCAACCTTTCGTCATTACTCCTTCGTATCTCCCTTTTCTGTTTGCCGGAAGGGAAGAAGGCGCACCTCCACTAAAGCTTTATCATAGTTCCTTCTCTCACCCGTATTTCTGTCTTTTTGGTGGATCTTGCTAGTTACTCTCTTGAAGGTGAAACTAGGCCTACTACGGAAGGACTTAGTTCGCTAAGAATAGGAAACAGAGGCGTTGTTGCTTGTTCTACTAACGCTAGTGCTACTTATCGCTAGGATAGGATACAACTAGATAATTCATACGTGCATAGGATGCTGAGGGCTGGATAAAGATGAACTCTTGGCCAATGCCTGCTTCCTTGGTATGATACCGGTATTGAGGGAAAGGATATCGATCGGCCGCCGTTCCGTTATTGGATTCGATTAAGAACCATAGCCGTAGTCATAGCCATTAGCAGGGAAGCGAAGTAGGTATTTTAAGCAAGTATTGTCATACCATAATACAATATTTCATGAACTAATGAGGTCGCTACACATGCCATAGTGTAGAACCCATAGTAGTGTATCACTCTTTCCAAGCCTTTGCAAAAAGTCAAACAGTCGATTTCTATTATAGGGAAGAGTGTTGTTATCTTTCTTTGTATGGCAACAGTTCGTTAAACATCCCACATCAGACGCCTACATTGTTAAAGTCAACTTGCCAGATAATCCTTTTCTATCATTCTAATTAGATATGCGTAACACTTTCAATGGTGAACCCAAGACAAATAGGAAGATGATCTAATGATTGCTAGCAGTGAGAATCTAAAAATAGAAGAAGATGGCGTTTTTTCCTCCAATAGAAAGAGGGCTAGCTGTGCTTATTTCGACAAGGCTGAACATGAGTTTCTCTCAAAGGACTTGACTTCTGAAATCTCTATTCTACGTTTTTCAACTAATCCACACGAGAAAATCCTATCTTTCTCTCACTAACTTCGCCAATTGTCCTTCGCTCCAGATGGTCAATGTCTTCAGACTAGCCATCTGTCCTTGGCTTCTGTTTCAGAGCTGCCTACCTCTTCAGATCAAGGTGAAAAGACAATTCGGGAGCTCAAAGTTATTGTCGCACACATCCATCTATTCTAGGAGATGCATGTCTGCGCTATCCCTTGGATCTAAATTATTATTATGTATCAGAGGCATTTCAAAGGAACAGAGGGTCCATCTTTGAAGCGAGAAGCCAATAGATAGTATTAGATTTCAATCAAGAATTGCGTATAGTAGAGGGTCTCCCTTGGTTGTGCGGGTGGTTTCAATTCCTTAGGCTTTGTGAGCCATTCTTTCTATCCAGTTATTTCCCTCATCTTGTAAGCCACTGGTCCAATGCAAGTGGACTGGGCACTGAAGCGTAGAGGAGTGGTTATGGTGGTTGCCGGGAGTCGGGGCTGACAGCTTGATGGCCTTCAATGTTTGTTGGGATGCATGCAGTTGCAAATGCAGGATTGGATCAAGGAGATCTGGATGCCCATGTTTCTGTCTCTACGAGAAAACGGATGTGTTTTAGCGAGAAAACAAACAGCTTCCTTAAGAAGACATTCCTATATCCGGTGTCCCAAAATAGAGGAAATGCTTATTTCAATGAAAATCAAAGTGCAAGTATATAGGATCTCCTTGCCGAATACCTCGCGTTTACCAACACCCTTTTTCACCAGAACAATAGGGTAGCGAGTATAGAGAAAGCTATCTCAGTAAAAGATAGAAAGAAAAATATCTCCTTCGCCAAGTCCCACTTGTAAAATAGAACAAGAAGGTTTACCAACATCTATATAGAAGGAGAGTAGCAAGAAAGTCTCACTGCAGATCAAACAAGAACTTGATGCAAAGCAAAAAATGATTCCAAATCCGAAGCATAAGACCTACCAATGGGCGATGAAAGTCTCTGGTTCAAGCTAGAACCAACTATGCGAAGAAAGTGACTACAGTTTACCGGTCCTGTACAAATTCAAGCTGGATTGCTTTTGAAAACACTAGCCAAGATACATAAGGATAAGGCACATAGATATGATCATTATGTTTACAAGTCAGTCACATCTGCAATGCAACAACCTAATTTTCTTGATCAAGGCTAATGTGGTAGGCGCATCAGCTCATAACCTTCTTGTATGGTCTCTAGAGGAGCCTCTATCGCTTTAGGTTAGGTACCTTTCGCGTATTTTTCAAGAGCCCTTGCAAACCGTGCTTCAAACGCTTCGTTAAGAACAAGTGGGGACTTTGGATTTGCTCAGTGAAGAGCCGGGACGAAGGGAGGATAAATACTATTACTCACTTGATACTTTCACCTGCTTCCGGTGACAACTATCACTCTCTTATGAATGGGAGGGTGGAGTACCAAGCAAGACATAGGGATTAGCCAGCGAAGTAGGTTTATTTAGTACGAAATATGGTTATTTAGAATTCTTTTCAGTCAGGACAGCCCTATTTAGTAAGTGATGGAGAAGAAGGTAGTGTTGATAGCAGTTCAGAAATAATATCAATCAAAGTGGGGAAACCGAGGCCTATAGCTGTTTTGGTAATCTATTCATTGTAATACCGGACCGATTGCTATGGTTATTCTTGCTGGCTGCCCTCGGTTTTACCGCTAAAGTATGCTATGAGGTTTGGGAGAAGGCTCGGCAAGAACATCTCAATATGATCAATCATCCGAATGTGCTAAATCAGCACATAAAGTATCTTCTGAAGAGAAAACGTATAGATATCTTGTATAGGATGACTGCTTATTCCCCCTCCCCTTTTAGCATGGATTGGATCAGGCTTCCTTTAGTAAGAAACAACATTCCACAATGGTCCCTTACTAGCTATAAACGGTATAACTCTCCTTTCTTTCTCGAATTTCTCACTTCAATAGGAGTGAAGTGCGTAGATAAGTTCGAAATACCAACCAACTCTCCCCACCAACGAGTGTTGGTTCAGCTTACCACCAGGGCTTATGATCATCGCTTGCGTCGCTATGTCCATGGGTTATTCCATATCCTTGTTTATTCAGGCATAGGCCTCGTGATTTGGTATAAGTTTCTACCTGTCGACGGTACTTTATGGACGACTCCTACCGAAGTATTCATGGATCCATATGCTGTTGTTGAGGGGTACAAGAAAATAAATATTGTTTGGACACTAGAGGATATCACCTCAGAAGTGAGAAACTGCTATAGGAATGAACATCCCTTCAAGGGAATCTTTTCGTACGAGGCATTAAGTACAGATAATGTCGTGAGTCGAACACGCCTTGCATCCATTGGTATCAGCATCATGATTCGATTCAATACGCTTTCTGGTAATTCCAGGATATTCTATTTGGAATAGATTATCTTCTCGAATATAGAAGTCTGCTCTTTGAGAATATTAGTTAGTAATTTATGTTTTTCTAATGGAGTAATACCCCTTTCCTGCCAATAAGAATTCTATAGTATATCAATTTCTTTCATAAGCATAACTTTATCACAAACTTTTTCCTCCGATATGGGTGTGAATAATCTGTTATAGTATTTATTGACAGCATTATGAAAAATATTTTGTAGATATTTAGTAGTAGGAGAAGATGTAGTAGAGTTGTTCGAATATCTAATCATTTTGGCTTTCTCTTTCCAATTAGTGAGTGAAGCTACCGATTTTTCCATTTCAATCAGGATTGAGAGAGAAATCGGCTTACGTTTGGAAGTGCAAATGGCTACGGATGAGAGGCGCAGAAGAAGGGCTTTATTCGGTGCACTCTGCTTACTGGGGCTAGGTGCCAAAGCGCTTGCTCTGGATTCCAAATAATAAGAAGAACACAACTCCCTAGTATTGACAAAGATGATGCCAGTGACTCCACCTCTCTCCTACTCCCAAGGAGCCGACAGACTAATAAAGTAGAACTGCTTGCTGATACCGGTA